ACAACCACTACTCTGTTATTAAACATTTGCTTCAGAAAAATTGAGTTACCGGTGGTTGAAATGTAGTCCCGTGTCCGCAACATATAATCTGATTACCTACTTGCCAAGCAAAAAGGAAGCACGCATATGTGGGAATGTCGAATCTAGGTGAATTTCACATGGTTGTGAGTAAGTCGCATGAATTAAGTTCATGAATTAATCAGATCCCGAATTACTGCGGTTATAGTGGATACAGAAGGATCACGTGACACATTGTTGATCATTTCCTTCATATTTATCGTATAGTGGAAAAAATTCATACATAATCATAACCATTGGCTCATTTTAAAGTCAATATTCGGAGGTAGAGAGTAATGGGATTGTGTGTGTTTGCATGTGTGTTTGTGTAGGAAAGTTTAACGTGTTAGTTGATGTGACCTTTCCCCAATTTGGGTCAAGTGGCACGTCATGTTCGGTCTTGGTTTTCATACACGACCAAGGCAATTGGAGCGCCTTCACTAATCGCTTTTGGGCACACAGATCGGGGCCTCGTAAGCGAATGGCGATCGCCTCGGCCATAGCTAGTGTCCAAACTCGGGCCGCCCTCGAGCGATTGATTGGGATGCGATAAACCACATCAAAACCTTTCTCCGGATCGATCTAGTGCCCGGTGTCGACGAGATGCCCTATAATGTATTATGTATTAGTATGTAAGATTTTTTTCCGCTATATGATATGTAAGATCATGACTAGAAATATCCAACTCACCGACTCGTTTTCTCAATGCTATCATGCAAATATTCAAGCTTTTAATTTCTTTCATACGTGGCTCGAATAAGCGAAGAAATTGAACACTGTTGGGCGAACCTACCTCTCTCTCTGTGTGCGTTGACAGAACTGAAAACTCCTTTTTGTGAACTACAAGCTACAGATATCATTCAGCATGCACCTGGAAACCGAGATTCAACTTAACTGTTTATGGTTTTAGCTGGAAGCCCTTCAAGTGCTGTCTTCCGAGGAAAATGAAGTCCCCGTTTGAAATGTATCCCCTCGGAACAAACCAAAGAAAATGACAAGACGCACCAAAAACATTCTTCGGATAGATTGGCTGGTTTTGTAACCGAGACGAACCAAGTTTTGCAGGGAATCCTGGTATTCGCAGAACGAGATGAACTCGATGGCACTTGTGCACCAAATTGAAAGTGCATAACGGCTGTTTATCCCCTCGGGGAAGGATAACAAGCTTTGGCACCAGACATGATCTGTTGTGCTAAGTGGTGGCAAATTCGTTTAACTAATTTTTTAACTAGTGCCGAAAGCACTTCGTAATCCAAACTTTACAGTTCACTTCTTCCGACCGCCTTCCCGCTGAAATGAATGTGAGCTATTGGAGGCTTGAATGTCCAAAATGTCGGTAGTGGTAGAATAATATGCATCCGATATTTAATATGGTTTGTCCATGTTAGTCCATCCGATTTGTACAGTCACCGGTGACCACTTATAGTCCGTGCTATAGGTTTCCAATGCTTTTGAGGTCACTTATTCCAGTTGCTATGGAATTATTTGTGGGAGCACATGCCGAGCACTATATAGACAACAATTTCTTCCTTGTTTTAACCCGTCATCTACTCATTGGTGTCTACCTTACCGTAGTCTGTCAGTATTCGAAGATACTCTTTATCTACAGACAATATCAGAGAAAACTTAGTGAAATACGCACATCTAGTCACAAGATCTTTATTGATCAGTAGGTCACAGCTGACCGCTGAAAGGGCCATACTACAAAAGTGATATTACCTAATCACATCTACTGCTTCTAGATAGGTCCGTTGGAAAAGGTATCTCTCACAGCCTGGGAACAGACAGCACCAGTCTCCCCGATCAGAGCCGGACTAATCATTCTGCTTTTTATACGACCATATTTATCATTATTGACAGAGATCAATACAATACAATCCAAACTCAGTGGAATTGTTACCATGGTAAATGAACTAGCTTATTTCTCCCGCTCTCTTGCTTTCTCTCTCTCTCGCTCTGTGAGTGTGTTCGTTGTCAATCGGAGGAATCTGTCGTCGAAAGACTCAATCACTCTCATTCCCTAAATTGTCAATCAAAATGGTCATTGGTGACCAGATCAATCTTTTTTTGTAATTAGCAAATTACGCGAGATAATGAATCGGATGTAATGGAAACGATGGTAATAAAAAGGCAATTATTGGAGATAAAGAAGTTGCTGACAGGGCAGTTGATGAAAGCCCAAACTCTGTGGACTTGTAGAAATGAGAATTGGACCGCCCGAGGCATAATTATCCGATATTCTCATATGCTTCAATGTAGGTAGAGTAGATAATAGCACATCAAAAGATCTGAAAGTTAGGTGTGATCTCTTAGCTCAAGTGGTAGAGTGTACACTGTCCACGAGTGTGAGCGGCATCCGTATAAGATTCCTGGTATTCTTCCCATTGAATTATATGACGATATAGGTTTGCCCAACCTAAGCTAATGAATAATCAGTGCACGCAGAGATTGTTACAAATACTTGGTTCGTTTTTGTTTTTGTCGTCCACAGAAACCTCTTCGATTCAGTTTGCTCCCACCAGTGTTGCATCCCGTGGTTAAAGTTGATGAGGACCAAGTCAAGTTGTTGCAAAATGCCAGTCTAAGTGAGTCGAGCAACTCGCCGAATCATTTTACCGCAATCCTGGCCTCGCTCACACTGCTGAAACCGTACACCGAATATACGGTCTGGGTACGTGCAGTTGGTCCCGACGGAGATGCATCCTTGCCCAGTCCTGCGCTCACGTTCACCACGAATGAAATGGGTGAGTCTCTGTCCAAGACCGTGCGTGGTGTCCTTGACAAAATCAATGCTCGGTGTGCAACTACTCACTCCCTTTTATTCGGATACATGATATTCGATTGAAACACATGTAATAATTCAACTGATGTCTAAATAATGGGTTGTTGCACAAGTTCCCGCCGTTTTTGAACATTAATTTTCGAAGAAATCAAAGAATTTCACCATCCAAAATAATGACTGAGATCATAAAATGTTAACAGCAAAAATAATAACACTTCAAAAAATTATGTTCTCTTCATCATTATTCGCTACTTCTTCGCATCTTCCCACCAGTTTGTTGATTCCATTTCGTCAGAAATCTTTAGGTCGACTGTTGAAGTTGTTGAGACAATTCTCAGGATGATCCTGATTTTCGAAGCTAAGACCCCTTACTTCATTTGAAAGGCAGCGGAAAAGATAGTAATCCGTCGGGGCGAAGTCTGGCGAATAGGGAGGATGTTGAAGGATCTCCCTACCGAGCTCTTGGAGTGTCATTTTGATAGGTTTGCTGTGTGTAGTCGAGTACTGCCATGGAGGAGGATCACCTGGCCTTGTCAATCCGATCGCTTTTGTAGAATTGCTTCATTGACTCGATGCAATTGGGCTTTATAGAGATTCTTCTTTACTGTCATGTTCTTTCCAAGCATTTCTGAGTGAATAAGACCTCAATCCCACCATACGCAAATCATTGTCTTCATCGGGTGCAGAACTTTCTTGATCCTAGGCATATGTTTCTCTCCAGGACTCACTTATTCCTTTGCTTCGTATCCACATAAAGACACCATTTATCGTCTCCAGTGACGATTCTGTATGAGAAACGTTGCCTGTGGCTGTGGGTTCCTTGGTATCAAGTGAGATTTCGCGCAGCAATGGAAAGCCGCTTCTCTTGCTGCTTTCGGGTGAGCTCATGCGGGACCCAAGCTTCAAGCTTTCGAGTGAAATCCATCCACTGAAGTTGGCTTGAAATTGTCGCAAAATCACAATTAATCTTTTCGCCCGATTCTCTGCATGTCTGGTGGCCATCTTCCTTCAAAAGATCTCTGAGTTGGTCCTTGACCATTTCGACTGGTCTTCCGGAACCAGGAGAGTCGTTGGGGTCGAAATTATCGTGTTCGAACCTGGCAAACCATTCCTGAGCAGTTATCTTAGCTAAATTGTCCTATCCATACACGGCACAAATATCTCAGGTAGGTTCACTCGCTTTTTGACCTCGATTAAAGGCGAAAAGAAGCGGGTATCGTAAGTGCGATTTTTTGTCGAATTAAAAATTCATTTGGCAGTGCTAAAAAGAAGTTAATATAGACAAAAACGATTACTTTAATCTTGTAGAGTATGTCACGGGCTTTCTAATGGTGAATAACACTGCCAAACATCAAAAGCCTTTGTAGAACAAATAGTTTCATGTAACGGCGACAACTTATGCAACAACCTAATATTTGCCACAATTTGTACTATTGGAAACCAATTCGCATATTGACCGAGCTAATTGAGTGTTCGATGCTCCGCACAGTTC